TGTGTGTGTGTGTGTGTGTGTGTGTGTATAACAAGTAGAATACATGTACAATGATTACAAATAGGGGTGAACCTAGTAAGACCCAAGTGGGGTCTCGTGTACCTACTTAACTTATTTTTGCAAGATTTTTTTGGGATGAAAGATGAACCCGTAAACTTTGAGGGATGTGTTGGTATATTAGATTATAGAAGAATATCAATCAAAAAAACGAAAAAGTCCCGTCAAACCAACCAAAAAACAAAAAAGTCTCATCTATTTTAATAATACAATTACTATTAGAATCTCGAAAATAAAGATTTTGTTGCAGTTGGATATGTTTTTATTTAGATATTTTAACTTTGAATTCTCTATTTCAAAGAAATTATAGAGAATCTGTTGTAAATGCTCTTAGAAGCCATGAAACATTAACATTTTCTATTGTATGACTTATTGCAGCAAATATGTATGTCTCTCTCTCTATTATATATATATATATATATATATATATATGTGTGTGTGTGTGTGTGTGTGTGTGTAAATAAGCCGAAGGCTATTTTGAGAAGTGGTAAATAATTTGAGAAGTAAAGAAGTGATTCTAGCTTGGTCAAGATTGGATTTGACTGGTAAATAATTGTAGCTTTAAACCGGTCAAAAATTACGGTTGTGAGAAAAATAGATGAGGTAGTTTTGTAACTTTTACAAATGCGCCAAACAGATTCATATATGAACCTATGCGATTCACATATGAACCATATGTTCATATGTGAACTCGTATAATTAACATATAAACAATTTTAACCAATTCATATATGAACTAATCAACTGATTCATATATGAACCATTATTATTCACATATGAACCATTGTGATTCACATATGAACTAATTAACTTATTCATATATGAGCCTGTGTGATTTATATATGGACTATTTAACTGATTCATATATGAATCAGTTAATTAGTTCATATATGAATCAGTTAAATAGTTCACGTATGAAATCGTTTGCCACCTATTTGTAAAAGTTACAAAATTACCCTTCTATATTTCGCATACTCATGCGAGAAATTATCTGGTGCTTCATTGTCAGAGCCGCAAAATGTTGAACAGATGAAGTGTCTATGATCACTTCTCAAATATTTACCACTTTTCAAATGAACATTTCCCTATAAATATATAATTATAACTATACATAGATATAATATCTATTGTTACTTAATAAGTCAATAATAATAAACGGTTTAAATTATATTTTATACTAAAAAGAACTCTTTTTTAAATAACGCTCTACAAATACCATGTATAGTATGAGAAAGTTGACATGACATTGAACTCTCTCGATTGATTATATTTAATGGGCCCTAACCCATTTATGGCCCACTTGTAGCATGGGCTTGGGCCGTATCATTTGCTTTTGCTGCAATCTTTTTCTACCTTTGATTCGTGGCTCAATCTGTTTTTAAACATCGGTTTTTGGTTTGGGTCTTAAATTTTTAAGACTTTTTTTCTAAGTATTATTTTTCTATAGAATAAACGAAACATAACAATAATAAAATAGAAAAGATGAACCACGAGATGTAACGGGTTGTTTGGCTGAATGGTTTGGTGCAGAATGATTAAGAGTCTCTCATGATATAAAGCAAAATGAAACATAATTGTCTGGTAATTGTTTACAATTAAATTAGGGTGCTGAATGGTTAAGGGAGACCCTGGATACAAAATCATTCAGCGGGTTTTAGAACCATTAAAAGAAAAACTTTTTTTGTCAAACAAGATTCATTTTTTAACGATTCAGAGGCTGCCCCTTTAATGGAACTATTAAGAAGTAAACAAACAATGAAACAACCACTAAATCTGATATAGTTATTTATATCTCCATCATTAATCGGCTCACATAACGAATTAGATCGTTCATGCTCAAAAATCACAAACTAAAATTAAGGGTAAAATTGACATTTATTTAATTAAAATGCATAATAGTTATATATTTTTTTAAATGTTTGATTTTTTCATTGTGGATGCTTAGAGACCGTTTACTAAACGCTTACTTACCTTATATCACTTACCTTACTAAATGGGCATGCCAAAGACGAAAAAACTTACCCGGTAAAAGACATAATAATGACTAAAAACTTACCCGGTAAATGAGGAAATCATTCTTACTCAATAAGCGTTTACCAGGCAAAATACGTTTACCAACAATCCATTTTGGTACCCAAAAATGTTATCCAATAAGATAAATATGAATGACTATTGTCGGTAAGTGTTTGATAAACACACCCTTACTTTGTATTTTCTTTAATTAAGACGAACACAAGTATATATTTAGATAACGGTCATGTTACCGTTCTAAATTGAAAAGCGAAATTAATTTAAATCAGTTCGAATGTATGTTTCTTTATTCTTTTATTATTCTATTCTGAATCGTTTTTATTTTAACCTTATACACATTCCAACTAGGGTGTTCTTAACAAATATATAGGAAAACATGACGAATATAGATGTCAGTGTTCACCATGCATCTTCTATCGATTTATACTATTTATGTATCTGTATTCGTTTATATATGTTTGTACCCTTTAGAAAATAATATGTAGTAGCATTTATCTGAATTGGGTATTATTTAAAAAAATGAGCAAACATCATCAAGCTATAACTCTTAGATGTTAATCCACTGATCAATTAATATCAGTATTTGTATCTTACTTCTATAAATAGAAACTTACAGAATAAAATTAATATTATATTCTTCCACGGACTTTAAAAAAAAGAATTACATTACGTATGATTCATTTGTAAATAAATATCATGTGATTTTATCAGTTGCTATCTGTGAGGGATTTTTTTTTCTTTTTTCTGGTTTAACAGAGCAATGCAACCGTGTAACGGAAGGGAAAACATTCATATCTCGATTCAATCATGCAATTTTTTTGTCATTTTTAGACATGTATATGGTAAGGACAGAAGATGGTGACAAAGTAATGGAAACATTTTTCCTTTGTATACGTTGTGCCGTCCATCATCTGTCACATCAATCATAACACGTTCTATGTTATTTTCATTAAATTCAATTTTTAAATTGAACGTTAGTTGCGGCAATTGATTGAATTTTTTGTCAGTACGCAATAACTTATGCTTCGAAGTCATTGCACGTTGCTAGGAATCATTCTTGTTTTTTGGATTTTATAAGTAGCTTAAAGCTTTGCTGAAAGGGTACCAAACCGATACAATGCAATATCCAATGGCTAAAAGATCTACATGGTGAACTATATTGAAAAAACCGACATTACGATTGTCTACGTTTGCCATAGACGTAGTCGTTGATCCGACCCATCATTTGAAGCCGACATATTTGCTTGCCATTTCCCGAGTGGATAAACTAGACCAAAGGTTTGGGGGAAAGATATTCCCAACTGGTTCAGGGAACCCATTAATTATTGATATTGAAAATAAATGTATTTGTTATTTAATACTAAATGTTCACATATGTATATACATAAAGAGAGTTCTGGAGAAAACCCTAAAAAAAAAAATAAACTGAGAAATACTGAGGTAACCATTCATCTATACCGTATGCACATGTACGTACAAGTAATTGAAGTTGTTTCTTGGTTTTTATACACGCGTATATACATGACAAATTGCTTAAGAATTATTTGTATTCACATATACATATGACCTTGATGAACAATTACAAAAGTGTTCCTCAATTTTTCATCTTTTCAAGGTTTTTCCCTGAATTTAATCCTACATACATATATACATATGTATTTATTCTATTGTGCGCATGTGTAACACAAAAGAAAATTAATTTGGGATTGAATTAGGGATGGATAATACCATCCTGACCCTACTTGAGATATGAAGATAATGAGCCGTTTACTAAACGTTTACTTGTTAAGTACTTACCGGATAAATTTCTTTATCGAAAGAACATGACAAGGGCTAAGAATCTTACCGGGCAAGAGTGATGAGAATGATGGTTTCGGGAGAGTCTTACCCGATAAGTGAATTACGATGCTTACCTTTCAATGCTTTTTGATGTACTAAATCCTTACACATCAAAATAAATTATAATATTAACTCCTATAGATAAGCGCTTACTGGGTAAACATTTAGGTAATCAGCCCTCCGTTACCGCCCTCTTATCCATCAAAGCAAATCGGAGTATCTCGGCTCGTTAGAGTTGATATTCGCCGTCCCTAATGTTTACTCGAGAGTCGAAGCTCAAGAGGTCCCACCAGATCTTAAAAATGGAGGCAGAGGAGATGACGAGCCCCTGGGGCACCGCCCCCCGTTAAAACCGGTCAACTCCCTCCATTACGCACTCACCGCCACCCATCCAAACCACTTGTTAAAAATAGATTTTCCCTTTTTCCTTTTTAATCAAAATTAACAAAAACCAAATCTTTCTAATTTCTGGGGAAAAGGATCGACAAGTACCCAATTCCCCAGAAATCTTCATCATCATCTTCACCAAAACGCTATAAGTTTATACTTATGGTTCTTCACATTCCCTAATTTCCCCAATTTTATTTCGGAAAACAAAAATGGCCCATTTGTGCAGAAAATTGTTGCGTTTGAAGCTCAAAAGAACAATCATCTGGCGTGTAGCTGTTCTCCGGCGATGTGCTGGATCTCTTTGGGACCAAGTTCTTGCTTGTTGGATCGGAAAACCCATTCAATACCGTCAAATACTCGAATCCGGCCCTACCGCCACCGTCTGCCACCACTTCCCTTCCGGTGAAATGGGTTCTTCTTGCGGTGATGGTATTGTTTCCGGTGAAATGAGAACCGTCTCCGCCGTTGGTGATCGTAATAAAGACGCTTCTGATTTGGTTGCTTTGAAGATTACTCTTTTGGGAGATAACCTTATCGGCAAAACAAGCTTCTTGGTTCGATTCGATTCTAATTTTTTCGAGTACTTTTTCGTTTTATGATCAAATAAACAATACCCATTTGCTAGTTTCTTAATTAATCCCCTAAATAATTCGAATTTTTTAAGGCTAAGTACATCGGAAAAGAGAAAAAACACGACGATTTTCCGGCGACTGAAGTGAAGCAGATGGATAAAACTCTATCTGTTAGAGGTGCAAGAATTTCTTACAGTATTTGGGAAGTTGGTGGCGATGCATTTTCTGCAGGTAAAAACACAAGTTGTTTACTCGAATTCTGCACATTTTCTCGATCATCAAAATGTAACCAAATTGGATGATGATTCCGATTGCAGACGACTGCGGTTCCACGGCGGCAATTCGTGTGGCCTGTAAAGATTCTGTAGCTATCTTGTTCATGTTTGATCTAACCAGCCGATGTACATTGAATAGGTATATTGATATTTAAGGGTTTTCTTCGAATTCTTGATGAATTTTGAAATGGAAATTGATGATCGAATTAGGGTTTGTTTGATTTCAGTGTGATCGGTTGGTATCAACAAGCAAGAAAATATAACCAGGTGAATGAATGTTGAAATTAATCTTCATTTTGAAAGTTATTTCGAAATTGATGTTAAATGTTTTGTATATATGATTCCGGTGGTTGCAGACGGCGATTCCGGTGATGGTGGGTAGCAAGTTTGACGATTTCATTGAACTTCCGATTGATTTGCAATGGACGATCTCAAGCGAGGTAAGCTTTTCATCTTCTTTTATTTATTGCAGTTTAATTGCAATAATTACTATTTAAGCTTGTAAATAAAAAAGAAAATTCTAACAAAACCAATGGACTTTATTGCTTGATTGATTAATGGGGTTTTTGTTTATTTTTTAATAGTTTCATTAAGAGGCAACCTCTGAATCATTAAGATATGAATTTTGTTTGACAAAAAAAAAATTGTCGGTTACAAAACCCTCTTAATGATTTTGTACCATGAGTCTTCCTTAACCATTAAGAGCCCCAATTTCACTGTTAACAATTACCAAACAAATATATTTAATTTTGCACTATATCATGAGAGTCTCTTACTCATTCTGATCACTTAATCATTCTGCACCAAATCATTCAGCAACTGCCAAACAATCTCTAAGATCTTGGACAATTTTTTGGAATAAATAAGTCATTGGACATTTCAAAATCTGTTTAAATAACTCACTGGACTTTCTAAAACCTGTTAGATACATTCTTATGACCTATACAATTGGTTAATATGGTAAAATAATGGAAAACGTCTGGAACAAAACTAATGGACTTTCATATTTTGAACAATTAAGTCCCTAAACATTTTTTGAACAAAAAATTACTTGCATCTATAAAATGAAACAAATATACTAAAAAAAGTACATACATCTAAAAAAGATTGTTAATGAAATTTATTTTAATTAAAAATAAAATATATTCTAGATTACTTTTGTTTATGAAATTTACAAAAAAGTACTTGCATTTAATTTGTTGTTAGTGTTAATTGGTATATATGCATGTATTACTTATATCTAATTGATGGCTAACTTAAGATGTTATACTTTTGAACTTCAAATCAGACCTAAACGTTTTATAACACAGATTTTCGTATACTTTCTTTTGTTCTTTTTTAGGCAAGAGCATACGCAAAGGCCATAAACGCGACTTTGTTCTTTTCAAGTGCGTCGTACAACATAAATGTGAACAAAATATTCAAATTTGTGACGGCAAAGCTCTTCAATTTGCCGTGGAATTTGGAGCGCAATCTCAAAGTCGGGGAACCTATTATTGACTTTTAGTGTCGTTTTTGGTAAGTTGATGCTTCTTATGATCGTAAAAATGTTATTATAGATGGTAAGAAGTTTGGGTTGATAAAAAATCCGACAAACCCTAGATAGTTCGAAACTTTTAGATTTGTTGGTTTTGATTTTTTTTTTCGACTATCGGTTTCGATTGTACTGACGAGTATGGTGGTGGCTTTGCAAGTCACCCTGCTTTTCTTTTTCAATTGCGAAAAATGGTTTTAGAACGCAATTTGTTCAAGACGGTCGTCATTGGTATGATGATATTTTGAAACAATGTTTGGATTGTCGGTAGAATTGTCTTTTGATAATCGTCGGTTTCTGGGTCAACTTACGAGCATCGTCTAATCCCTCGGGCACCACAATAACTTAGAGTCGTTGAAAAATGTAATGTTATATAACTTTAAAAAAAGAGACCTCTAAACTTTAGTAACATTGTTTTGGTTCTACTACATATTGGGTTGGATTCATGTAAGCAAGACTGTTTTTGTGAGACACGATTTTTACATTTGAAATTTCACAACAAAATGTTTTGAAGGTAAAAATTTAACTATATTTAAAAAATAAGATAAATTTATAAAGTTCATTATTTTGTTATGAATCGGTTAGATATAATTTGAAAATACTGTTGCAATATTGTAAGCAAGACGAATGATTGTATAAAGAGAAGAATTAAAATGAGAATGATAAGAAGAGATTTGAATTTTTGATCATTTTTAATCTTAAAATCACCTATTAATTGCGTTTGATATGAGGATTGATTTGGTGCATCCCATTTTTATTTGCATCCATTGATAGAGACGTCTTATTATTTTTCTCATCTTAATTCTCTTTCTCATTAGAATCAAATCGTGATAAGCAATACATGTTATCTAATAACAAATATTACAAATAATTTATTATATATTATAAGCGTACTCGTGTAATACAACAAGATACATATAAATTTTAATGTTTCGTTTTATAACAGGGTTTTGTATGGTTTTGAAAAAACGATAATATTTTTATATTTGAATAAAATATAAATTTGAAGATCTATAAAAATTAATATCAATATTAGTATCAAATTAACATTTAAAAATTCTTTTTTTTGTATAATTTTTTAGTATAATTTAATTTAAGTTTAACAAAAAAGTAATTTATTTTAGGTCTAATAATATAATTTATTTACAAAGATAATAATTAAGCTCAATGATTATTTTAATTATGTTTTACGTTTTTTATATTTAAAATGAGATGTTTATATTCTATTTGATTATGTTTATCTTATACTTGATTATATTTATCAAATTCAAACATATAATTTTAAAAAATTATACTAATAAACCGTATACTTATAATTTTAAACTTTAAATCATATATAATATTAAATAGTATTAATATATATTAAAAAAGATTTTTAAATTATTTATCTAAATAATTTATAATATAGTATAGATACGTGAACATTATCTTGAAAATGTTCCCCTGCCTCTGAGGAGTAGGGGTGAGCAGCGAAATCAGATACCTACTCGTGGAACCGAAACTGCCTTAAAACTGTCGGTTTCGTCCGGAACCGATATGAGTGGTTCTGGTTCCTAAGATACGGAACCGATTGAGAATGGTTCCGGTTCCGGTTCTCAATTTTTTGGAACTGTTACCCGCCGGGACCGGTAACCCGGAACCGGCAGGTACCCAATATTTTTCAATTAAAAATAATAATTATTTTTTTTAATACTAAATTTAAATTAGTTCAAGAACTTAGAACTCTAGATTAGATTTTTGGTCCCGCCTCTGCGTCTCATCGACTCATACTCTCAGGCCTGAGGCCTCTCACGGACCGTCTTCATCGAAATATAGTATGTAATCGTTAAACTTTAAACATTTACAATTATAGTATGTAATCGTTAAACTTTCAACATTTAGTATTAGTCTATTATGGTTTGTAATCGTTAAACAATATTTGTAACTATTATTCCATATAATTTGTATTCTTGTTTATTTATTTAGTGTTTTGGCAATATTTTATTTTTTATTTCTAAATAACAAAATTTTAATATTTTAGGAACCGGAACCGGTTCCTGGCGTTTCCGGTTCCAAAAATTCAAGACCGCTCTAACCGGTTCCGGTTCCGGTTCCAATATCTCAAGAACCGGAGGTTCCTGTCAAATAGGACGGGTACCCGCCTATGCTCACCCCTAAGTGAGGAGTGGTATCAAATTTGAATATGTTTAGATGGCCCTCACAGTTATGAAAAGTACACTTTTGGTCCTTCCTCTTTCACTTATTTGGGTAATCAAACGACAGACAAATATCCAATTTCTTCATGACACCCCGAGCAATGTAATAAATGAAGTAAAGATATTGTAAACTACTGGTTTTTGACCAAAATGACCCCAACATGTCACATCAGTTACACCTATATTTCATGTGTATCATGTGAACCCAACTTCCAAAGTCGTTTTCATCTGCACTCTACAGTCACGCTAATATGGTACATGGGTTTAATGGCGTCGTCGGTTGCTCAACCCCACCATGGACCCATGTTCTTCCATTTGATCAATTTATCTGGTTTTAAGTAGATTGTCATACACTTATTACACGTATACATAAAATCGTGGAAATGAACGTGAAGACTATAAAGTGAATGGACAATAAAGTAAACTTTTGTCTTTCTCCCTTTCTTATAAAATTAAAGCAGATTTAAGTTACCACTTGCTTCAGGTTATGACGTACAGTATCATCACCTTTATCCTCGTTGTAATACATACAAAGGATGGTGCAAACATAAAACATTATCATTTTACGAGAATGCAAAATAGCTGAGACAATCAACCATCAGAAATATGATAAACTGGTGATACACACATGATTGACATACAAAAACATCCTTGGTTGTGGGCCAAGTTGTTTGTACGCTATTATGTCCGGATATAACGTCATATGTGATGGTTGTTTGTTCACGTGTTCTCGCGTTTTAAAAAAAATGATATTGTTCTCGTTTGAACCTCACATATCTCTCTCTCTCTCTCTCTCTCTCTATATATATATATATATATATACACACACACACACATATATACATGGGGTTGGGTTCACATGAGACCCAAAGTTTTTCGTGAGACCTATAAGACCAATTTATGTTCATTGATCAACTTTATAAGCTAAATATCTAATGGTCTAAAGTTGCACGGTGACAATTTTGTGATTACTGAGAAGTCTCGTGGCAATTTTGTGATTATGAATGTTCAAATTGTAGATCTAATCCAAGGGTTGAGAATTGGTCTTACTAGTCTCACGAAAAACCATTGGTCTCACGTGATCCTAAATCTCTCTCTCTCTCTCTCTATATATATATATATATATCATTTTTCAAGATGAAAATTTATGCATAACAAACTAAACTTTCCGGACTCCTGATTTGATAATATAGACCATACAACCTAAACAATTATCCACATTTAAAAACTCGCATGTTAAGATCTGATATGGAGGATACCATCAAACTAATTAACACGAAAACGACTTCTGGGACCTCTTGGCACACATCTTCTCCATTAACTGACATATATCCAACAAAAGGTCCAATCTGTTTGGCACATATTTAAACAACAATACATATACAATCAAGGTCCGATTATATATCCTTCACGTGGAACCCCCAACTCTACGATCATTACAAGTATCATCGTCGTAACTTCTCTATATATATTCAAAGCGTCCATCTTGTCACAAATATCGATGATCAGAACGTCTACAAAATCAGTTAATTTTATATTGACAGCCATATGTTAATATTTTATAAACAAACAAATAATATTGGGTTTTTTTTTTGTAATTTTCAACATTATATTTTAAAATGGTATATATTAATTTAATTTAATTTAATTCAATTTAAAATACCCAAACATACAATGTGCAACCAAAGCAAAAAGGGGTTGACACATTCTTCAAGTTTCCCAAACCTTGCAAGAGAGATCTCATGCAACATGGAGGATACTTGGAAAGTATTTTAATTTACTTGTACCAACCTTTTAGGAATGGGCATGTGAGCATTCATTTATCAAACCCACCACCATCATTTCTCTCTCGTAGCATTTTGAATTATATGCTAAAAATTCAATTTTGAACTACAAGAATGGTGTTTAACTGGTTTATGATTGGGGTTTAAAGGTTAAAAGTGTCTGAAGGTCTCAAGTAGGGGTGTTTATCGGTTGAAATCCGATGAATTTAGGTGGATCCAATCTGATCCAATCATCCATTGGATGTTGGATTTTGTCATCGGAGACTGTCATCCAATAATCAACCGATCCAATTAAAATTGGAAATTCGATTGTGGTCGGTTAGTTTTAATTGGATCGGTCGGTTTAAATTGGACCAGATGACTTTTTGTACACTCCTAGTCCAGGTTCGAATCCAATGAAGAATAAAAATCTTCTTGTGGCCACAGAGATTAAAGTAAGATGACTCCGGACTACCCGGTAAGTGAGTGGTCGCCCTGGAGTCGGCTCGAATGGCAAATTAGATATCCAGGTTAATTAAAAAAAAACGGTCTTATTTCTTCGATTGCATGGTAAAACGACAATTCCTTTACCGATGATATAGAGAGAAGAAGAGGCGACTGGCAAATATAGAGGGAAAATGTTCCCCCGACAAAAAATAGTCAAACCCGAGTTCCACCATATAGTCTTAGAGACAAACAAAAAGATTATTATTCCTTCGGTCTTAAAATAAATGTCTATGTTACTATTTTAGTTTGTGTTAGAATAAGTAAGCTTTCAACAGTATTAGCCAACTTTCTTATTTTACCTTTAATTATGAAGCGGAAAAATTAAAGGTAAAACTATTAATTTGTTAATTAATAAATATAATTATTATATATTTCTAAAATTGTTTGTCTTTTTTTATTATGGATATTTATTTTGAAAAAGAAAGAGTATTATATTATTGAATTGTAACGTTTTTTATTCGGTCTGAATTTTTTTGATCTACTGCTATATTCATAAATTAGCATTTACATGGTTTTTTTCGAGACAAATTATTTCAAAAGGCGATTTAATTTAACTCAAATCTTATTATAAAAAGTATATGTTCAAAACCATACTTTAGGGTTTTGTAATTTTGAAAATGTTTTTTAATATGTGTAATATTAATGTGATCCCGATTATTATTTATGTTATTTGACATTTATTGAATTTATGTCTAATGTATCTTTAATGCTTTGAGTAAATTTTAAGGTTTATAATTCCAA